CATATGTGTATAGGGGTGGTGGATGGGCAGGGAAGATGAGATATCAGAGAAGCAAAGAGAAGACTGAGATACCAGAGCTTTGGAGGCAAACACATGTGGGCCTCCATCTTGCTTGTCCACTTATTTGTTATCTCCTCGGACAAATCAAGTAACTTCTCTGAGCCTTGGTTTCTCACCTCTCTGCTGGGACTAACAACAGTACCTACTTCATAGGGTAGACGTGAGGATTAAATAAAACACGTGTGAAGTGTTTAGCACTTGGCACACTGCACTCATTAAAAGGTAGCTGGTATCAGTGCTGTTGCTGTTGTTCCAGCATCACAGCTGGAAGTCAGTCAGAGTTCCAAGTGTGGAATTAAGATGCAGGAGAAGGGCTGAAGCTGGAGCTATAGACAAGGGAGCCACCTGCGTAAAAGGGATGAGAAGGTGCGGCACTGGAGCTACAGGACAGACCCTGGGAGTGCCAGCCTGGGGAATGAGATGGAAGGAGACAAAGTAAGTTAGCAGAGAAGGGTGTCAGGCCGCAGGGGGCATACCGTCGAAGGAGAGTAGTGAGGAAGGGGGTGATGGTCAGCATCATCTGATGCTGCAGGAAGGTGGAGCAGGCCAGGAGGCCACTCCAAGCTAGGTGATCAGGAGGCCAGCTCCTCTCTTGCTCTGTTCAGATTACTCCTAAAAATCTGGCAGTCCCAGTTCCAAGTCTCAGAATAGAATCCTTTTCAGGATGAGTCGCTTCCCGCTTTTCTTCACTGTAATAAAATCAAACGATTGCACAAAGGAGAAGACCCATCACTGGTCCTGCTGCTTACTTCCTGCTCCCATATGAAGGCCAGCTCCTCTATGCCAGCTGCAAGTAATAGCCCCCGGGAAAGGTGTCATGGGTGTGGAATGGCAGCCCACCCTCCTTGATGGTACAACAGCCATCATATGATCACTCCAGACACCTCTCTAAATTTTGACCTCTGTCAAGAGTGGCCAAATATTCTAAGAAATCTTCTCACTTAGAAGTTGGATCCAATGTGCTAATTGCCAAGAATGTACTTTGGCTTTATTACGTGTGCAGTACTTTTGGTTCACTCAGTATTCAACATTTATTAAGCACCTCTTGGATATCAAGCACTCTGCTAGGCACAGGGGGTACATATCCCACTTTCTTTCACGAAGACATCCTTGACAACATTCTTTATTCATACACCCGCATCCACTCGCCAGGACCTCCTGGTTGGCTCTGCCTTCCAAATATTTTAATCTGACCACCTTGCATTATTTCCACTGTTACCACCCTCGACCAGGATGCTTTCTTGCCTAGGTTATTGGGATAACCTCCAAACAGATCTCCCTGTTTTGTCCTTGCCCTTCTATACTCGACTCTCATCCCAGGAACCAGACTGATCTTTTTAAAACATTTGGCAGTCTCAAGAGTGTTGAGATAGTTGGTAGAGCTGGGAGTGTGGGGATACTGGCAGTTTCAGATCCTGTGGTCAGCACTTGAACCCAACCTCTGAAGTTGTTAAGGAAGGGAGGGAATCGGCTACAGTCTGGGGCAGGAGCTTTCCAGGCTGAGGGAACAGCAGATGCAAAGGCCCTGGTGAGGTTGTCAAGGACCTGAAGAAACAGAAAGGAAGCTGGTGCTGTGGGAATTGAGTAAGCTGGCAGGGGGTAAGGGTGGAGGTGGGGAGAGGGAGTGGGAGGAACTGAAGTCAGAAAGATAAAGAGGGGTTCAGTGTGGTGTCTGGCACTATGCTAGGTGCTGAACACACAGTGATAAGCAAAATAGACATAGTCCCTGCCTCCGCATTGGAGCATATAGTCTAGTGGGAAAGATGGACATGAATCAGATAATCACACAAGTCAGTGTATAGTTACCAACTGTCACAACTTGGCCCTTCAAGAGGAACAATCAGGGGCTCTGACCTAAAGTAGGGGGTTTCAGAGAAGGTTTTCCTGTGGACGTGACACCTGCTCTGAGATCAGATCGACGAGGAGGAGTCCAGTAGGTGAAGAAGGGTGGGATGCTCTTGGACAGAAGGATGCCAAGGTCAAAGGCCCTGAGGTGGGAAAGAACTAGGTGGAGGCAAGAGGGGCTGAAACATGGATGAAGAGAGAGAATGTGAGGTGAGGCTGGAGAGGAAGCAAGGCTAGAGTGTGAGCCTTGGGGATCATGGTCAGGATTTTGGTCTTTATCCTAAGAAGAATGGGAAAACTTTGGGGGGTTTTAATCAGAAGGTGAACTAGATCAGAATTGCAAGGGTTTTAGAGAAATCCCTCTCACAATGTGGAAGACACGGTAGAGGTAGGGAAGTAGCAGAGCAGGTAGGCTCTTGTACCCACTGTTGTAGAAGCTGTCATACTGGCCCAGGTGAGAGATGATGATAGCTGGAAGTAGGGAGAAGAGGGAAAGACTGGATGAAGTTGAGAGACAATTTGGAGATAAAATCTGCAGTACCCGCTCATGGGAAGAGAGACTATTCAAGTGTCAAAACCAGATACAGTAAAAGAGGAACAACCAACCATTATAAGTCTCATGGTGTGATACAGTGGGCAGTACAGGGGCCACCTACGAAGTCTCTTGCCTTAAAAAAAAATGTAACTTAATTCGATCTACTCTTTAGACCTGTCAGTTTATGAGAAGCACGCAGGATAGATGAACAGGTTAAATGGCACTATGAGGAAGGCATCAACCAAATCGGTGTGGGACATTCCAGGGAACAAATAACATGAGGTGGCCAACAAACCATTGGCATGAAAGAGAATTTTTAAAAAGTCTTAAGAAATAGAACAAGGCAATGTTTTGTGCAGTGTGTAGACCTTGTTTGGATCCTGATTCAAAGAAACCAAAAGATTGCTCTGAGAGAAATAGAGAAATCTGAGGACAGACTAGGCTTTAGATAATACATTTTTTAAAGATTTTATTTATTTATTTGAGAGAGCGAGAGGGAGGGAGAGCACAGAGGGAGAAGCAGACTCCCCACTGAGCAGGGAGCCTAATGTGGGACTGGATCCCAGGACCCTGAGATCATGACCTGAGCCAAAGGCAGATGCTTAACCGACTGAGCCACCCAGGTGCCCCTGGGCTTTAGATAATATTAAAGAATTGCTGTTCATTCTGTTAGGTATACTAATGGCATGGAGGTTTTAAATTGTGTGTGTGTGTGTATACACATACATACATATTTAAGTGCATGCTAGAAGATGGACACAAAGTTTCTGAAATGATACATCATGAATTTGCTTATCGCATTCCTGAAAAGACAGTGTGGCATGTGATAAACTGAAGTGGGAAAATGTTGCTAGTTATTGGAGCTGGGTCAGAGATACTTGGAGGTTTATTATACCATTCTATCTTGGGGTATATGTGAAATTTTTTCATGTAAAAAAGTTGAAAACAAAAACTTTAGAGAAAGTAGAGTTCACAGTGAAATAGGGAACATAAGAAAAGGACGTCTGACAGAGAAGCAATGAGTTCAGTTTGGACATGCTGAGGTTGATGTGTCTTTAGAATGCTAAATGGAGGGGCCCTGTAGGTGGTTGGTCTAGAGTTCTGGAGACCTTTGCTCTGGACCTTAAAATTAAAAGCAAGTGTAGATAGTGACTGAAGCTGTGGTCACAGAGAAGCTATCCAGGGAAGGACAAAGTGTGACAAGCAAGGGTCCAGGACTAGATGTGGAGGAGATGGAGGAAGTAGAGGCCAGGTGGAGGGGCTGAGCTTTGTGACTGAGAAGGAGTAGCCACAAGACAGGGGCCACAACCACCAGGGAAAGTGAAATGTTTCCAAAAGGAGGAGGGGCCAATAGAGCCAAATGCTGCCAAGATATCAAGCCAGATGGGAACCAAAATGAGTCCATTGGGTTCACATCTGGATGCAGCTTACTGCCTAGTGGGAGCTGTTTGGGCTGAGGGACTGGAGTGAGCAGGAGGTGAAGGAAAGGAAAGAGTGTGGACAACTCTCTGAAGAAGGACGTCTGTGAAGTGGAAGACAGAGGGTGGTACCCTGAAGAGAGAGCGTGAGGAAATAGGAGGGTTTATTTTTAAGGTGAGACATGCTTGGTGAGAGGAAGAGGTGGGATATCCGGGAGAAGGGGCGGTCAGTGAAGTGGGGTTCCTGAGGGGGCAGGAGGGGATGACATGGGGTTGGCCCTTGATTCTGTCAGGGTGGCCGAGGAGGAGAGTTGTGCTATAGTGGAATGCTGGAAAGTTCTCCCTTTGCAGCTGTGTTCCTTGAAAAGTGGGGACGGTGCCTGCGGCTGGTGGAGGGTCTTAGAGAAGGTTGGCAAAGTGAGGAGTGAAGGACGAGAAACCTGATGGGACCGCCTGGTGGGGAGGGGAGGCCAGTGATCAGGGTCTGACAGGAGAGTCCGTAGGACACTGCCGAGGGCCGGGTAGGCCGTGTTGCTGGGGGACGAGGACAGTGTGACGCTCCCCAGGGGCTGAGGTCCCTGTGGAGTCAAGTCGAAGGAGGACCCAGCCCATGGTGTTCACAGGGAGAGCCTGAAAGTGATGCCCAAGGTCCTCCCGATTCCCATCTCATGCTGCAACCTGCCATCCCCTCACCCTTCACCCCCTGCCCCCAAACAGCCCTTGGCTCTCCAAAAACAGGGTATGGTTTCAGGGTCAGGGCTGTGTGTCGGTGCTTCCCAGGTCCTGCCAAGCGGCCGGCGGTGGCGGGGACAGCCGGAGCCAGGCTGGGTGGGTGGGCGCTGGGGCAAGAGTGGCAGCAGAGGGGTGCTGTCGGGCCCACCGCCCTCCGTCTGCACCCCTCACGCAGGCTCATACAGAAGCAGGACACGTGGCGTTTTGCTCAGAGTCGGGGCGCCACGTCCCCCCGTGACCAGCGTAGGCACCAGAGCACATTCCCTCCGGGCCCTGCTCAGCCCCCCAGTCCACCCAGCCCCTGAGGTCGCTGCACTGAGTGATACTGGGGCGGCCAAAACACGATTCCAGGACAACCCAACCCCGTCGGGCAACACACGAGAAACTTAAAATGGATCGTTTCTCCTTCCAGCTTAACTCAGGTGATCCGAAAGTTTGCCAAGCAGCTGGATGAGTGGCTAAAAGTGGCTCTCCATGACCTCCCAGAAAACTTGCGAAACATTAAGTTTGAATGTAAGTACAGAGGTGGGGAGCCAAGGGGAAGGGAGGACAACATTTTAGTGCCGAACAACTTTACATAGGTTGTTCATACAATAATAATAATAACTTTCATTTACTGTTTGCAAAGCACCAGGTATTAAGCCTAGCGCTTTTCATGCACGAACTTCCTCAGTCCTCCCAAAAGGTGTGTTATGGGTGGCGCACTTCTCCTTTCATGGAAAATGAAAGAGGCTTAGAGGGGGTTAGTCAGTAACAGAGGCAGGATTTGCTCCCAGGTCTGTCTGTTGACACCAAAGTGTCTGCTCATCACCACTATCTCACCCCATTTAATCCTCACGCCACCTCTGTGATGTAGGATGCAGTATCCCTATCCTGCAGATGAGGCTCCAAGAGGCAGAGAAACTTCCCCAAAGCCACACAGCCACCCAGCTGGTAAGAAGGGGCCAGAAGTCAAACTCAAATCTGTCCGACCCCAAAACTCTGGGATTTCCCTGAAGCCCCTGCCCCCCCAAAAGGTGGTAACAGGAGACAGAAAACGGCTTCAGGGCTTCACATATTCAATTCTCTGCCTAATGAGAAAGCCAAATTAATATTTCTCCTACGGGGATTAGGACTGTGATTTTTTTTTTTTTTTTTTTTTCTTTTCTGCTGAGCATCACCAGCCACTCTCCCCCATTAGTTTTGCCTGAGAAAACTGGTCCTATTTCTCTGTCTCGGTGTTTCTGGATTTGTGGGAAGATGCATGTGCTATTACACCAAGATGAAATGATTTTAAGCCAAAGTTTTAAGATATAGGTTTCTTAAAGCAGCATTTGAATCCAGCTTGCCATTCTTGCCCGGGAGAAAGTGGCGGCAGGGAAAATGAAGGGGATCAAATTACCCTCTCTGGGCAGGCACAGGGAGCCCTTTCAGACGCGCTCCAAGGCTGAGGCCGCCTGCAGCGCCCAGCACCTACTGATAAAGCCCGCTTTATTTCACGGCTCTCAGTTCTTTTCTTTTCATGAGCACTAAATTCCACATCACAAAGTTAAAGAAAAAGTAATTAAGGAGAAGGATTAACGATTGATCGGTCTGGAAAATTAGAAGTTCATCTGTGCCCCCACCCCCCATTTCTCCACCCCATGCCCTATTTTTCAAACCAAGCTGGCTCTGAGTACAAATTAGAATAATCCCAGGGAAATTTCTGCTTCTTGACCAGTTCAGAAATTAATGAGAAGAATGCCCTGCACCCGTTTTAATTATGCTGACAAAACAAACCTGTTGAAAGTTGGCAGCAAGGAGGTCTGTTGGACCTTCCACCTGTTGGGGCCTGCGGGAACCCCTCTCCCAGGGAACCTCGGGGGCACTTGGAGAATGGGCGAGGAGGGGAAACACCACTCCAGACAACTCTGCAATCGTGGAGACCTGGGGCTGGCACATGGCTTGTCTGCTTGGTCTTGAAATCTTCAGATTTAAGATCATCCCACTTCGAACCATCAGCCTGTTAAATGACTGTGGTAAACAGGATCAGCAAAACACACCAACAGGTCATGGAGATCATTTGATAAAAATGGCAGATTATGAATGCAAAGCCGCATTCAAAGTGCAGCCCAGGGTTCCGTCCTAAAAGCAGCCCCTCACACCACACACCGCTGAGGCTCAATCAAGTTTCCCTATTAGATATACTACTTTTAAAGGGCCTTCTTCAAAGCTTCCACTTGATTCCAGCAATTATTTATGGGGAGAAGTGATTGAGCTTGCAATTAGCGAAATGAAAGACAAGTAAATAATTGCTTTTATTCACGGTTGATTGACACCACAATTTCTCACACCTGCCAGTATGGCATGCGGGTGACTTTGAAATATGTACCCCAAATATCGCCATTTTAGGAAATAGCTGTCCACACAGGAGAACAAAGAATCAAATGCAGGGTTTTGCCAGCGGGTGCATAAAATGCGGTTGGACAGTGAAACGCATTTAGGCAAATAAGCTACTTTTTGAAATCTGCCCCTGGAAAATCCAAGGTAGGACCATACAGCATGCAAATACTTCAGACTAACTCTTCCTTCTTGCAGTGTCGAGAAGGTTTTCCCAAATTCTGAGACGGCAGACATCACTGAATCATCTTTGCCAGGTATGTATCCTGTGTTATGTTTTCTAACTCCTTTGAAGTCATTGCCCATGAGGGGCAAATGCACAGAACAGCTCCCCAGAGATCCATCGGGGGTGTGGCTGTTTGATAGTTTAATACAGTATAATAGGTGTTTGATATACTCTTACTGGTACCTTTAATTTCTACTGATAAAGAATAACATTAAGCAATCACAAAATATTTCCGACTAGCATACAAAATAATTTCTGACGTCAGTCGCCCCTTAACCTTTCAGATATGTTCTGGCGCGCAAGTTTGCGTTTCCCTTGAGTAGATCGGGCTTTCTCGGCCACTGCTGACATGTGGGGCTGGATCATTCTTTGCTCTCGGGAGTTGTTTGGTGCAGTGCCAAGATTTAGTAGCATCCCTGGCCTCTATCCGCATGCCAGCACCCAGATGCCTAGCAGCACCCCACCCCCAGGTACCACCTTGATTTTGACCATCAAGAATGTCTCCAGACATGACCAAATGTAGCCCGGGGGCCCAGTGTCACACAACACCCCCCCCCTTGTGAGTCACAGAAATAAATGATTCAAACATAAAGAGGATGATTTGTTTGTTGTGTATGTATCATCCAGAAGAGTTCAAAGGCACACAGTATGTTAAATATTTACCCCCTTTTGTTTATTTTCTCCAGATTTTTGTTCTTTTTAGCACAAAAGTGACATAGGCTTACTATAAAAAAATTCAGCAATAACAAAAATGTGTACAGTGAAAGGTGGACTATCTCCTTATAACTCCTTGGTGATAATTCGATGGCATAAAGCTTTGTATTTCTCTTAAGTTTGTACCTTAAGGAAGGGAATCTAAGTCTATTAAAGCAGCCAGTTAACATTCATTAGAATATTAATGATCTTAAAGCGGAAGGGGCAAACCGGTGGCTGCCAGTCAAATCTGGCCCTCAAGTGGGTGGGCTTATTTTTGTTTGATTTGCATGTGTTCAAAAATTGTTTTTACTTTGTAGTTTACAGTTGAACCTGGGAGATGTCAGCTAAACAGCCCCAGAACCACATTTCCCAGGGCAGGAATCAAGTGGATGGGCTGAGCTCCTTTCCAGCAGGCACTGTCCTCCTTGTCAGCCCCACTTCCTCTTACGCTTCGCTGGCTTCCCTCACTCCCGTCTGCCACCTGCCTGCCTTCTTTGTGTGGCGTTTGCCACCTCTCCCTCATACTGTGGGTTCTGGGTCGGTGCTGGTTATTCAAGGTCAAGGTTGGAGGAAGGGGTTTTTAGAGTGACCTGAAGGAAAACCTCCAGGCCAGGCACCTGAAAATACAGAACTACACCCCCACACATCTCACCGTTCCTGCCCTGCCTCTGGCATAAATGGCAAAGTGGGTGATTTGGGAGATTTGGAAACCAGAGGTACACCCTTCATGTTGTTTCTCAGACGCTAAAGACACGTGGGTTTTTAAGCACAGAGCTCCCATCCCGCAAGCTTACATCGGAAGGCTGACAGGTCTCTGGGCTTCATCCCATTGTTCCCCAGGGGTCAAGACCAAAGGGGCTGGGAACAGCAGGGTTTGGTCTAGCCTCGGCCACCCTGGAGTAATTTTTTATAGAGCTGAGAAAAGAGAGCCACAAGAGAAAAGACTGTATGGGTCTTCTGAGTTATGGACTCATCTGCTGATTTCCTGAAATGGAGTTTTCCTGAATTTCAAAGTAGTTTGCAAAATACCCTATGCAGATTCATTAAAAAGAAAATAATGTGCAGGGGTTTTAACCTAACAACCCTCAAGCTAATGAGTTGATGGGCTTGGATTACAGGCATCTCGGACGGTGATCCACAGTGCAGACATCACATTCCAAATGCTGGAAGACTGGAGGAACGTGGACCTCAATAGCATCACCAAGCAAACCCTCTACACCATGGAAGACTCCCGAGATGAGCACCGGAAACTCATCATCCAGTGTAAGATGTTCCACCAAGCATTCTGTCCTTTCTGTTTTTGTTTTTAAAAAAAAGAAAGAAAGAAAAAGTATCTTGGTAAATATTTAAGTGGCATTCTCACCCTGTCCTTCCCCCTAGGATCCCTTCCTTCTTATTGTTCCTGTTAAATGGGTTAGCCAGGACGGCAGGGCTGATTGATTTAAAAGGACATGTGTCAACACTCCTGGGGGAAAGGGAGCCTGGTGCATTTGGGCAGCACACAGTGTCATGCAAAAGGCCCCAGATGTGACTCTCAATGCCAGGCATAGTCCCGTAGGTAGCATAAAAAAATGAGAACAAAAGCGTGTTGCCTGTCTGAGTGTACGTCAGCCTGGAGTCAGCTGGATACGCTGCCTGTTTTCCAGGGGAGGGTCACATGAATCAGCCTACCTATTGGCAGGTGAACCTTTCCATCGCATTAAATGTTTCAGAGGGGAATGGATGGTGGTGTACTTCTGTGAGCATGTGTTCATGTCCCTGTGGACAAAGACTGAAGGAATACTGTGCCAGCTGTTGTCTGGATGAGGTCAGGTTGTGTGTTCTTAGCAGTAGAGGACGTGAGGGGGTCAGAGAACACCACCATCATCAGCACACCTCTGCTGTTCCTCACGAGCCCACCGCAGCCTGCTGCCCCCAGCCTCCCACACCCAGCGGCCCTGGATGGGAGTCTCCTGGCCCCTCCTCACTTTGCTCAGCCTTCCTTTCTCATTCCTGGGGGGGTGGGGGAGGGAAGGGGCGCAGGAGTGCGGAAATGGGGAGCTGCACAGCGGCCATCCCCCTGAGAAGTTGGGCCAGTTCTCCTGAGAGCCCCAGGCCCCTCAGATTTCCAGTATATGCCTTCTGTATGTCCTCTTGAGGGAACTTTCTTCAGCCAGGCTTAGCATGTGGTGTTTAAAAACAAGTAAGTTCCAAAAGATGTTCCTATTAGAGACCTCCTTCCCACTGAGCGCTTTTCAAAAGCCACTGGAGCAGCTGAAACCTGAACCCTGGGGACCTTCCCTGGGGCTTCTTTCCCAGAACTCCTTCCGTGCTCATTCCTTCCTCCACAGCAGCCGTCAGCCTGCTTTCCCCTGGTAAGAACTTAGAGGTGGTCACTAAAATAAGAATTGAGCTCACAGACGGCCTTGTCTGCGCAGGGTTTTGTGTCAGACTTAACCACAGGCACGATCTTGTTAATTCTCTACACCAACCCCACAAGGAAGATACCCGCCGCCCCCATTTTACAGAGAACAAGGCTCAGCCTCAGAGAGCTGGTGACCCTTACCCCTGGCAGCAGAGCGGGGCCCCCTGACCTACACCCAACCTTGACTTCACCAACATGCACTAGGGCTACTCACTTGGAGGAACAAAATGAGATGACAAAAATGATGCGACACGGGCAAGTTCTGGAGGCTGCGGGGTCTTTCCAAATTCTTGCAATCATGCTCCTGTTCTGTTTGTCCTTGCTGCCTGCTACAAGGCCAATAGAGAGCATGGGTGTTAGCCCCCTTCCAGCACTAGCCGTACCTCTGATCACTGTGTCCCCAGGACCTCACCCCAGGCCAAGCATGGATGAGGCGCCACTAATGTTTGGTTGGGCCAGACAGATGAATGGGAACCCAAAATGACACGACTCCCAGCAGCATGAGACCCAGCTCTCTTCCCCCCTTAGCACCTTGTGTGAAGGAGGAAAATGTCACTTGCTTTAAGGACCAGGCTCCTTGGAGGTCACTGGAGCACCTTGGAGGTCACCGCAGCCTCTCCAAGAAGGGAGCCTTTTGGGGTTTCCTCTTCAAGTTCTCTTAGGCCCGGGACAGAATGGTGCCCTTTAAAGCTGTGACTGTGCTCTTCTTCTAGAGGAAGGGAGTAATGAGGTTCAGTTCAACCCAGCTGGTACTTAACTGAATGCCTGTCCTGTGCCAGGCAGTGTGTTAGAAGCTGGGCAAAAAGCAGTGAATAATATGAACACTGCCCTTCCCATGTAGAGCTTAGAGCTAAGGGCAGATCAGAAATTGAACAAGTAATTCACAAATGGTTGCATGTTCCAAAGAGGACACCTCTGTATGATACAGTGCCTGGGAGAGGGGAGAGGATTGAGCAAGGGCACCAGCCCTCAAGGCAGGTAGCCTGGCATACGAGTATCATCCCTGCAGATCCCCCCCCCACCTACAGCTGGGAAGTAAGTTCTTAAACACAACTATGTGCTGCACCCTCCTTATCACCAGTTGACAAGCCTGCACCTTCCGGCTTTAGGGGGTTTCCATCACCTCTGTGAAATAGGTCCTGCCTGGGAATGCCCCACTTACCCTAAATTAAAAAATGCATGTCCGGGGGCGCCTGGGTGGCTCAGTCGTTAAGCGTCTGCCTTCGGCTCAGGTCATGATCCCGGGGTCCTGGGATCAAGTCCCACATCGGGCTCCCGGCTCGGCGGGAAGCCTGCTTCTCCCTCTCCCACTCCCCCTGCTTGTGTTCCCTCTCTCGCCGTCTCTGTCTCTGTCAAATAAATAATCTTAAAAAAAAAAAAAAATGCATGTCCGGTCATCAGCGTGCTAATGAGCACAACTCGACTGTGGTTAAGAGCAGGGGCTTGCGATGCCCAACAAACCCTGGTTCTCGTGCCCTGTGACCCTGGCTTCCAAGTCTCTGACATGGGGAGGACGCGGTGGGAAGGAATGGGGCCCGGGACAGCGGGTCCAGTGCGGCGCTTGGGAGGCAAGCGTTGGCTCAGGCTGGCTTTGAAACCCGCCTCTGCTATTCAGCAGCGGCGAGACCTTCGGAAAGTCTCTGTCTCTGAGCGCCTCCGCCCCCTCGTTTGTAAAACGGGGAGTACAGTACCTGCCTCCTTGGGTTCTTCATCTGTTCACTCACCCAGCGTTGGAGAACCCGCTGTCCCGTTCTCGGGGTTGCTGTAGGGTTAGACTGGAGTGTCCGTGCAAAGCAGTGAGGAAGGTGCCTGGCGCGGCAAGAACCCAGTAGGTGTTAACCAGAAGCACCCTCTTGGCCACTTCCGTCGCCACCTTCACTGACCGAAGCGCAACAGCGCCGACGCACCGGACACACCGACCGTGCCATCAAGAGGAAAGCGCCCCAGACAGAGGTGGGAGACGTGGGCTCCAGTCCCTGCTCTGGCACTCACTCACCCTCTGACTTTGAGGGGGGCCTTAATCTCACTGAGACACAGCTTCCCCTCTGTAAAAGGGCACCGATGTCGACTCACGGACGTTCAAAGCCCCTTCTCATTCTAACCTGTTCTGAGCTCCGGGTGGTGGCTGGCGTCTTGTCGCAGTCATCAACTCGGGAACCCGGAGCACCTCGGCTAGGCCCATGGAATGGGAGACCAAAAACTGCTCGGACAAATGAAAACTGTAAAAAAAAAAAAGATGTGAATCTGGAAGTGTGGTTTGGTTTACGGAGCTCCACATGCAAAAAACACAAAAACGGTCATGAAAAGAGATGTTTCAAACTGGAGGTCACCCCAGCAAGGTTTCTTTTTTCTGTGGTGCTTCGCGAATTCCATAGCCCATCCGGACTCGGTTATCTGACGTGCAGCTGAAGACAGGCTATAAAGTGGTACGATTATTCCCCTTTTCCTAATGTGGAAACTAAGGGCACAGAGATTGTTTCCTTCATGCTACGAACATTTATTAAGCATCGACTGCGTACTGAGCCCTGAGAGGCTGGTTGGGCGACTTGCCCACCACAGTTGTGGTTTAGAAGCTTTGAACTATCAAACGTGCCTGCCGTGGGGCAGAGAGCAAGGGAGCGGCACTGCCTGGGTCTGGGTCCGCGCATGCAAGCAAGCACATCCTGGATAGCGGCCGCCTATGGGGAAGGCCCTGACTAAGAAAGACCCCCGGCAGAGAACTGGCCCGGGAGACTCGCCCCGCAACTGTAACACAGCATTAGCAGCGAAGGGGGCATATGAGATAATAAAGCGTTAGGGAAGCTCGGAGGACAAGTGATCAGTTCTGCCGGCGAGGGGCCTGCGGAGGGGAAAAAGGATTTCACGAGAGGGATCATGTTGGCTGGGCCACGAGGAACCAGAGAGTGCGAGCAGAGGGGACTGCCTGAGAAAGTAGGGCTTGTTGAGGGCATATGGCGAGTTAACATGGGAGCCAGGCTCTCAGGTGCTCAGGGGCTGGGAAGATAAGCCTGGAAAGGTAAGTCGGGGCATATTTTCTAAAGCCTGAATGCTGTGTTAAGACTGGAGTTCTGTTTTATTCAGTTTCATTCCTTTGTTCTTTTAAGATGTATCTCTGTGTAGACACAGCTGCAGTGATATGTGGGGGGCTCTCCTTTGTTTGACAGTGTACCAGGAGTTTGACCACCTCCTGGAGGACCAGTCTCCCATCGAGTCCTACATCGAGTGGCTAGACACCATGGTGGACCGGTGTGTTGTGAAGGTTGGTAAGCCGGAGCGGAAGGAGCAGCCCCGGTACTGCAACCCGCCACTCACCTTTGTGGCACTTGGGAGATACAGAGCCCCACCCTGAGCTATCTGAATGTTCCTCAGCAGCCATGGAGCCCTGGGGTTCTGAGGAGAGGCTTGGGCCCCCTCCGGAGGTGGGGGTTGCAGGAGGCAGGACCATGAGTCTCCTTCCCCTGACTCAGCCAGGTCAGCATCTCTTTTATCTGCTGTGTGCATTGGGTCTTGACATAAGATTTCATTCTTTAAAGCATATTTTTTTGCTGGAAGAAACAGCAAGTCAAAAACCATTGTTCTATAGCATTGAACTTGGAGACCCATTAAACCTTCCTAGTGTTTTTCAGGGAGACCGTAATAAATGAAAGGTTACGTTGACCACTGTTAAATCTGTTCACTTTCTTGTAGGTGGCTGCCAAGAGACAAGGGTCCCTGAAGAAAGTGGCCCAGCAGTTCCTCTTGATGTGGTCCTGTTTTGGCACAAGGGTGATCCGGGACATGACCTTGCATAGTGCCCCCAGCTTCGGTAAGGCCGCCCCAGCCCTCCTTATATCCAAACACTTCCTCTCTGGACTTCGTGCTTGAACTCCACCTCTCTAGACTCAGCCTTGATCTCACTTGCTGTCCCTGAGCCCACAAGGACATCACCCTGAAACTTACCTGTTCTGGAAGGAGTCGACATTGTCAGGACTTTCAGGGAGAAAGATGGCATTGTGTGCTAATGTATGCAAATCTGAAAATGGAGGTTCTCACTCAGCTAGTATTATTGGAGTTTAGAGAGGACTAAAAGCAGTGGGTGCGCTTCGCTTTGGCCAGGTGTCCCCAGTGAATGCTGCTTCCAGGGACTATTTTGCAGAATTCCATAGTGTGGACTTCCCATGACTGGGAACTCGAAAAGCCCCTGAGTTGGAATATTTGCATATGGCTCGACTGATGCTCCAGTAGTGGGTAGAGTGTCTAAAGGTTTCTTTAACACTGTGCCCCGGTTGGATCCCTAGAACTTTTATGTTCATTTTTCCCTTGGTTTTACTGACTCCTTGGGTGCTCCTCACCTCCCTCCCCAGGTGCACACCTCCTCCTTCCAGAGTAACGCAACTTGGAGTCTCTGCCCAGGGGCGCTTACGCTCATCCACAGGCAGGAACCGAACCACCGACTTAGGGTGAATGCTGTGCTACATTGTGGGACACGGTTTATTCCTTTTCACTGGAAAGAATGGAATACGCATCGAGTCCAGGTCATCATTAGCAAAGTGAGGAGAAACCCTAAGGCATCATCCAGACATCTGAAATCTCCAAACACTTTGGCCTCAAATTTTGAGGCATTTCAGCAAAGGGCTGTTGGTAGCTTTTCTAGGTACTTGCTTCAGTTCACTATTTTACTTTGCAAGGAGAGATGTGGTTTCATTTCTCATTACCTCCAATTAAGCCAATCGGCTCTGGGTTTCACTCCGGGTTTAATTTGACACTTTTCCATCCAGCTTTTTTATGGTCTTGTCACCATTTCCCGGTTGTGCTATACAACGAAGCGAGTATGTGGTAAACAAAGGCGGCACTATTTTTTCTAAACAGCTCTGTCCATGAAAGACCGTGTTTCCCCACTTGGAGAAGTGTTTTGTTGTGGATTTCTTTAATCTCGGCATTGGGACGCTCTCTGCCCTGGCCTGCACCGTGGCTACAGATGAAAGTTCTCTTTGAGCTGCGCATGGACATTCTCCGGTGGCTCCTACCTGGGCAGTGCCATCAGGCATGACGTTTTGATGGCTTCCGGCTCAGCACAGTTAGTGTTAGCACATGTCACCTCTGGTTCTGGGAAAACCATTCGCGCATAGCTGCCTTCAGTCCAGCGAATGGCCGAAACATTTTTGCCATCCGTTCATTGCTTCAAAATCAAAGAATCCACAATATCGCACCCACGTATACGGACCCACATCCACAAAGCAGGCATCTTTTTTCGCTCTATCCCTTATTCTTCAGTGTGCTGATTCTTAAAGTGATTATGTAGATTATTGAGGCCTCTTCATTAGACAGGGAAAGTAATTCACTTGGCAGTATTCTTTGGAATTCACTTGTTTTTACTAAGTTAACAATATGATAAAGGAGGTCAGGACAGTAGGGCAGTTAGGGTTCTATGAAGGGGTTGCATTTATTACCAAGAAAAGTTTTCCTTGAAATGTATTCCTTTCTTTTTTGAACCACGCACTGTTTTAGGATATACCGGAAACTCAGGCAAATGGCAGAAATGGTCACAAGTCTCTTAGAAAAGGCAAGGAGATGTTCACCCAATTTCCCGTTGACAGGATTTCCCAACCCGAAGTGGGCTGAAATGATACCTGTTTCCAAGTCCATTTAGCACACCGTCTGCCGTGGTCCTGCTCATCCGACTTTCTTGTTGAGTTCTGCAGCTTGGGGTGACAGGCAAGTTGAAAGAATCCGCGGCAGACAAAAGCCCAGCTCCCCCTTTCTGCCTGTATATGTCAAAGACACAGTTGGTGGTTGTGTTTGGGTCATGTGTGCCCTGTATAAAAACAGCTAATTAGGAAAAAGAGCCCTCTGTTCGCCAGCCCCCTCCCCCAACGGCAGGGGCCAGCTCTATCTGTCTTGTAATTCGCACGATCCTTGCCGCTGGGAATGGTGCAGGCTGGCCGCCATGTGAGGGTGGGGACTGTCACAGCGATCCCGGGGGGTCTCTGCCACCTCTGCCCAGAACGGCCTCTTTCAAAGGTCGTTGACTCCTTTCTTCTCCTTAATTCCTTTTCACTCTTTTCTTCCTAATTCCTTCTCCCGGAAAGAGCCTATGCGGTGAACTGAAGTAGCCAGACGTTCTTTCTTTGCTGCGGGCAGCAGTTTCTGGTAAAATCAGTCAGCAAAGGTAGGCTGGCAGGCGATGAACTTTGAGTCCTAACGGGGCTGAGGAAAATAGAGTCTCTACTTTTGAAACGCACACACACACACCATGTATTTTCCGCCGACTGCTGTGCTTTCCGTTCAGAGGACACCTGGATCCCAAGTCAGTGCCAGTGCCTTTACCCTTTTACTCTGGGTTTTCACCACCTGCCCCCGATTTCACTCGTAGGGACATCTGGAGACAACCGTAGTTCCTGGAAGTACTTCGGCATCAAATGGTTGGGAAACCACCCCGGGTTTGCCCACCAAGGGGGGAGGACTGCTTATGGCCCAAGCTTTCACCGGCTCATGCACTTGTTTTTCTGGCTTAGTGTTGTAGCTCACCCGCTCAGGGAGAGCCGAGGAGGCCACACGGGGGCAGCCCCGTCAGGGACCCGCTCCCACACCAGGTGGCAGTGACCCAGCCTTCCAGACTGCTTCTGCAGGAGTAGGTGACCAAGCCTGGCTCTCTTACCCAGAACCTGCCAAACACTGCACATGTCAGCCAGGCCCCCGCCAAGCACTAGGAGGCAGGAATTGCTTTTCCTGTATTCAGGAGGAGGCAGACCCGAGAGGAGAGGGGGCTTGCCCTTGGATGCGCCACAGACTGTGCTGAGCCCCCTAGAATTTTTTCCATGCTACAGCCCCTGTTCTTGCTGCGAAGCCACCACCTCATCTAGCTTTCTTCAGTTGAATACTACTCATGAAGACAAGGTAACATTTATGGAGGGCCTAGTATGCACAAGGCACAATATTGGGCATGTCCTCATTTAATTTTTCCAACAACCTGTGAGGTCTGAGGTAGAACATGAAGCAAGGCAGGACAATGCTGCTCATTATAACAAATACTTAGAAGGCACGTACTACCATTCAATCCTCACATTAACTCTTCGAGGCAGATAACAATAGGTGGAAAAGGAGCCTGGAGAATTTTCTTGCTCAAGATCAGTATGGCAAGGGACAGAGCTCTGTTTCAAAATCAGATCGGCCTGACCACAAGACCCATGCTTCTTCAGTTTCCACAACTCAGACAAACACCCCGGGCTCAGATGCAGAGCACCAAAAGGCGAGACAAATTTTTTTAATCCTCACTGATGGATTTTTAAAAATCTATATTGATAGATTTAAAAAAGTTTTGGAAGCTATGAGAGAGCAGATCATCATGAGTAATAAGGGACGCCAGAAATTATATCTTTCAAGTGCTGAGAATAAAGAACCGTCAACCATTATTCAAGAGTGAGGGCAAAGTAAAGACCTGTTCGGTTCTACGAAGAATTAAAGAGAATGTGGCCCCATAGAACATCACTTAAAAAGCACTTAAAGGCTGCATTTCAGCAAGAAGAAAAATAAGGGTCTGGGATACAAGAAACAACCATGTTCTAGTTATTGTTGCTGTGTAACAAATTACCCCAAGGCTTAGTGGCATAAAACCGTGCTTCCTGGAAGTACTTTCATTATGCATGTGGATTCTGTGGGTCAGGAATTTGAACATGACACAGCAGGGATGGCTTGTCTCTGATCTATGATGTCTGGAACCTCAGACGGAAATACTCAAGGACAGTGGTGCATCGACAGCTGGGGAGGCTGGAATCATCTGGAGGCTTCTTCGCTCCTGTGTCTGTGCTTGGGTTTGGATGACTTGAAGACAGGACTGCTGTGATAGGATGCCTTCTGTGGGCACTCCATGTGGCATGGCAGCCTCTGAACAGCTAAACTTCTCACATGGTGGCTCACTGTTCCAGGGGGGAAGTCACATTGCCTTTTATGACCCAATCCCAGAAGTTAAAGTGTCACCTCCCCCCTACTCCGTTGGTCAAAGCAGTCACAAGCCTACCAAGTTTGAAGGGGGAGCATAGACACCCAATTCTCCAAGGAAGGAATGTCAAACAACTTGGGGGCCCTGTTTTAAGATGAGAGAAATTCTTAAATTTGTAAACAAATTTAATTACTGATTATAATTTAAAAAATAATTTTTGCATGTTTAAAAAAGGTAAAGCAAGTTCTAGGCTATAATATAACATGAGGTGGTGGGAAGAGAATCTTCAAGGACTGGTTAAAGCATGCTAAGGTTTTTGTCTCAGAATGTTAAATAATTTTAGACTTCATTGAAAAAAATATAGTTTGGATTTAATATATAGGATATATGTTAATAAATGAAGAGATCATCACTAAATCATTATAATTTACCAAGGAAAATGGAAAATTTGAAAAGAGATGGCAAGATAAAAGAAGCATAGAAAAAGGATGGTAAACAAAAAACATAAAATAGGACGCTAGAAATAAGATCAAGTAACAATCGCAGTAGATGTAAAAGTCTCTTCCTTCCAAAAACACCAGGCATAAATGTTTTTACAGGCAACTTTTACTAAACTTTTAAGAAACATAAAATCCTTAGTTAATGAAAATCATGAAAATTGATGTTTCAGGCAATAAAAACGAAAGGTAAGTTATATGACTCATGTAGCTAATATAATCTCAATTTCAAAATCTTGGAAGAATGGTAGAGGAAAAGAAAATTCTGACCCAACCACACATAAATATAGATGAAACCTTCTAAATAAAAATACTAGCAGAACAAATCCAGCAGCAAAATTTTTAAAATCATGATTAATAAGGTTTACGGCAAGAATTCAAGTATGATTC